GCTGTCCATCTAATCTGACTGAGCTGGAGCTGTTTTGCAAAGAAGAATGGGCAAAGATTTCAGTCTCTAGATGTGCAAAGCTGGTAGAGACATACCCTAAAAGACTGGCAGCTGTAATTGCAGCAAACGGTGGTTCTACAAAGTATTGACTCAGGGGGCGGAATAATTACACACTCCCCACTTTGCAGTTATTTATTTGTAAAAAATGTTTGGAATCATGTATGATTTTCGTTCCACTTCTCACGTGTACACCACTTTGTGTTGGTCTTTCACGTGGAATTCCAATAAAACTGATTCATGTTTGTGGCTGTAATGTGACAAAATGTGGAAAAGTTGCAATACTTTTGCAAGCCACTGTATTCTGCTACGACAGTAAGCCTGTTTTCTAATGGTAACGCTTACAGAAGACCACTGCACTGGAACTATGCTTGCTCGACCTCTTTATCAACTGTTTTTCTCCATCTCTCCTTTTTTTTGTTTCTGTGTCATTTTTCTCTCAGACCCAATTAACATCATGGGCAGGCTGCTGTAGCTAAACCTGTAATGATAATGGTCGGGGAAATGGTTGTTATCTGGGGCTGTGTGTGGGTCTGATGGCCTTTTCCCCCAGCAGGGCTTATAAGTCATTGGGTTTATCTAAACAGGGGGTGTCTCCCTTCAGCCTACCGTCTCTCCCACACACACAAACACACGCACACGTGTGCACACTCGCGCACACTCACATTAGACAAAGTAAAACGCTTTGATCTGAAGGCCTCCGAGCTCATAGGGTGGTAATCCATTCTCACTGTGCCTCCCTACCAGTTCTCCATCACTCCTTAAGCTCCCATGTTCTCCGTTGCTGTGATATACACACCGGGCCATGCCAAAGCTGTTTTGCAGTCTGATGAAGCTGCAACCATCTAATGTGCCAAGTCTATGAAGGATGTGGACCCAGAGAAAATCGTCTTCCTTTTTGAGTTTTCCCCTCCATTTCCTGTTCCACTCAAACTCTTCTTTGCTCGCTCAATCGTTCTCCTCAAGCCTCATAATTACTTCTCATCTCTCTAGTTTTCTTCCCCCTCTCTCTACCCACACTCAGCCTGTTTTTTTCCTCCTTCTTTTTTTATCTTTCTGCTCCGCTTTCATTTCAACAGTCTGCTACGGTCACATTCTTTGCTTCGCTGCTTTCCTCTCCACTCCTCCCCTCCACACTACAGTGTTTCTGAGCCTACCTATGAAGTCGTTGCTCATTCCCAAGTCATAGTCCCACACAGTGATCTCCAGGGTCTTCTTCGCCAGCTGGTCCAAGGATACTTCATATGAAAACTCCTGTGCAGGTGGGGTACATGAGAGCATATTTACATCAATGATTCATAAACAGGTGATTGAAAGGAAGTGAATTCCTAACTCAGCACGTGTTCTGTGATACGCTGGGTGCACCTGCAGGATATGACACAGTCCCTTTAAGGTATGCTTAAATTGCCATGCTTTACATTGGGAGCTCAGTAGAGAAATCAAAGAAGTTGTTAGCTGCGGTGTGGTTAATTGCAGAGAAAGTGTGGAGCTGTACCTCATTGAATTCGGGATTGAGAGTCTTTTTCTTCACGGAAGTCTTGTATTTGGACTTTTTCCCCATATCTGGCTGTAAGACGCTGAGAAAGAGAGAGAAACCAGATAAAGACATGAATTCAGCGTGATCTTGGGGGATCAGGGAACATGCTGTACAACCCCTGGAAAACAGACTGTCAGAAACTATTACTCAAATAGCCACGGTCAATGTCTTAGTTAATCTTTGCCTATATTTCATGAAATTCTGCTACTTGGAGGTTAGTGTTGGTGTTACTGACAAACAAATGGAAATGATCACACACATGCATATTTAGCATTGCTGTGCAGTAATTAGTGTTAGGCACAAATAGAGACAGTTTACCAGGTGTTTACCATCTGTCTCTAGTGGAGTGGAGACGGATGGTGAACAGATATTCTTACACCACCAGTTTTGCACAGATTAACATACAGTGATTGTATTTTGTTTGAGAAAGTGAGTGTTCTCAAATGTAAAATAGGTTTGTGCAACAGAGATCTTTGAACTCCTGTCAAACAGAGCCAGAACTTCATTATCAAACCAGCTAATCCACAACTTTTTAAAATCTTTGCCCATAAAGTTGACAGTAAAGTCAGCAGAAACAAAAAGGGAGAGTGAAATTTTGCAAAATGTCTTTATGAGATAACTTCAACCCAGAAGTGTTTTGAACAATGGCAGGGACAGAGAGCAGCTGAAAGAGAACGAGAAAGAGACAGAGGAGGATTGTAGACCACAGCAAGATCATAATCGTGCTGATGTTGGAGGAGTATACGCTCCAGAGAAGAGGCAACAGAAGGGTCGCTGGAGGGCAACGGGATTCATCATCAGCATAAATTCAAAGTCAAGATGTTCAGGCAGTGAGATATCACACTCTTCCAGCTTTTCACTGTCAATGACGAATCCTGGCCTGACAGCTGATGCATGCAGAGCTGGAATCAGAGCGAGTGAAGGATGGAGGGGATGCAGGTGGAGCAGGAGGAGGGGGAACTGACAGAGAGCAAGGTGGCACAAAGTTTGAATCTACTGTTGGATTCTAGTGCCTTTTAATGTAAACTTTAATGCTTATCTGTCAGCTTAGTATCTGAGTGCACTCCCTTCATCAATGCAGACCTTTTCTTTGTCAACTAGAAAGAGAAAAAAACAACAGATGCTTAAGATTTTATGATGGAGAGTTCAAATGTTGTGTCCACTAGGTGGCAGCACATCAACCACCATGACAAGGTGAATGCGTTTGTAAACTGCAGCTTGTTCACTGGTTCAGCAGACAAAAAGACAACATTTACATCCCACACATCCCAAACCATTCATGGCTCTCCAGTAACTTCATTCCACAAACTCATGGTATCAAAGAAAGACATAACTGTGGGGGGTAAAAAAAACAATTTAATGTAAAATACACAACAGAATAAAAATACTATTAAGGCTTTGGATCAGATTCGTACTGATGAGTTCCAGGAATCTAAATCTGAGGTCTGTGCTTCCTCTTTGTGCTGCTTATCCAACATCTTTTTAATTTCCTCTGCTGATCCTGTTCTAGATGTAGGAAACAGGCCCATGTTCAATGGTAATAGTCACAATTTATCAAGCAAGCCTGGAATCTCTTTATTGTGGGTAAAGTAAGTTAATGTACTTCATCTTTCATAAGTTGAGATAATCTACACAGAAGCTAATAAAAAGCCAGAAACTGTGGTGTCATTTGTTTTCACTTAGTTAGGCTGCTGTAACGCGAGTGCAGGAAATAACATTATAATCTGTGCGGCCTACCCAGCAGACTGTTTGGGGTAAACATGAATGATGAATCAACATACATCCATGATGTACAGATGTTTTTATGTTCCATCATAATGCCAAATCAGAAGTCAAGACTCATCAAATATGGCAACATTTTCCAGTCTGTTGTCCAGTTTCGGTGAGCCCAACAAAGTGACAAATGAGTGTATATAACTCAAAGTCGGTCCAGTTTCGTACATCAGATTAGCCTGACAACCAAATGCATCAGAGTCTGTCTTCTTAGAGAGAAGTTAAATATCTCTGAGCAATTCAAAATAAGTATCCCCTGGGTAACAAACTAACTGTGTGCCTATTAAAGTCCCAATTACTGTGTTGTTCTAGTAAAAGCCATCAACTTAAATGTTTCAAACAATGTATAAAGACGAGACACAGGCTCAGCTAAATGTTTAAAGCATTAAAAAGCTCATTATCGCCACGAGATGCATCCTACCTGGTGTTTACATAGTAGTTTGGTTTACTTCACAAGAAATAAAAAAGAAATCTTAAAGAAAATCATGAATCAATTAAGACAGTCGGCCAAGCAAAGCATCTTTTTAACCCCCAGCACGTGAGGCGGTGAAGTGAAAGCTCGAGGACATCCGAGCCTTAGCTCTGCCGACTCACATTCTGCATACGCCTCCAAGGGCAACTCACGCGGGAGAACTCAGATTTTCAGAATAACAAAACATTCTTTGACACCAACGTTCGTAATTAAGATCGGGTAAATGGAAATAAAGGCCACAAAGGAGCAACCGAACTGTGCTCAAATTGCCACAGAAAATTCAATGTGAAAAATAATTCACGACGCAGGATGCTGGTCCACAGAGATATGGGAGGATAATCCCCTCAGTTTTTCACTAACAGTTTCTTTAAAAAGAACAGTGGGGAACAGCAAACTAAGTAACCACATGTTTATGTGCCGTATACGTGCACCGTTTTAGCTCTGCATCACCGGCTGACAGTGACTGATAAGGTTAGCGAGCTACCGCAGCTGCTGCTGACAACCTTTAAACGCTGTTCACGAGACAAACTGTGTTTGTAATGTGAGGCAACATGAACAAGCAGGACTCATCTTTAAAAAGCCCCGTAAGGCGTGGACAAAGAAATGAGATTGCCTCCCCGTACACATACTATTAAGAAATCTAATGCAGCTACACTACTACTCAAAATGTTATGGTTTGTCTACTGGGAGTGACCAGGATGGACAGGATTAGTACATCGAGCGGCAAGGCTGAGATAGTTTGGACATGTGCAGAGGAGGGATTGTGGATGTACTGGATGAAGGGTATAAAACGGGGAAGACCACAGAGAAGATTCACAGAGTGAAGGGTTGGTGTGACAGGAGCGTGAAACAGAGATAAAGGAAGATGTTCCACTGTGGTGACCTCTAAAATAAGGAGTCAAAAGAAGATAAAGATATATATTAATAATATTTTTCATATCCTTTTCTTTCTTTTTTAAGAGTTAGGAGATGTCCTCCAATGCACATTTGTGCAATATCTCTAAAGTTAGAAACATCCTGTTTCTACAGTAGACAGGCCTGACAGCTGAATGCTCTGCCTCCCAGAGTTTATGTGTGACAAAAGCCAATAGTGGAGGCTATTACAGTACAGGCAGTTCCATAAGAATCAATCAGTGCACCCTAACTCACCCCATTAGAATCAACTGGTTATTTTCCATGATGACTGCATGACTAGACTGGAAAATTAACCACAAGTTAGCCTGCAGTCTGAGAGTGAAGCACTCTGTTTATTGGAATAATATGGTACTCTGAGGTCTTTGAGATATGATGGGGTCTGATTATTCACTATCGTGTATGTGAGGAGAATTTTTTTAGTTTTGGATTTAACAGGGAGCCGATGAACAGAAGCTAATATGGGGAAAAAAACTATGGTCTCTCTTTCTAGCCCCTGTTAGAACTCTCACTGCAGCTGGAGAAAACTTCAAAAAGTAAATCTGGGTAAATGTGCACGGGTTATACAACCATCCAGCATTGGTGGCTGGTCCAAACAACTTACAGTGCATTTGATACCAGGTTCATCTTTTGGTCACAATTCCGTCTGTGTCAAAATAATGTCCCAGTTTAGTCAAACAGTCATTGAAAAATAATCATTTGATTCTAATGGGGTTCATTAGGGTCAGCTGATTGATTTTCTAATGGAAGTGCACTGTTCATTTCATCATTATGCCAGTCCCCTATAGGCTCTTCTGACACATGAACTCTGGAAAATGCTGGGAAAGGACATGACACTGATTTTATACTTGAGAGCTAGCAGAGTAAAAATGATTTTGTCCCGTCACTCTCACTGATAGGAGCAACATATCCAAACTGGCCCGGACAGTAAGACAGTCCATCACAGGGGTAACAAAGCAAGAGCACACTCTCACATCCACACCTACGGCACACCTACCTCATTAATCAGCCTAACAAGCATGCAGTGCTAACCGCTGCATCGCCATGCTGTTGTTGTTATTTTAATAGATGCATTAAAAATTAAATGAAACGTGTAGTCAGGACAGCAGAATCAACTTCTTTATTTTTGCCCAAAATGTTTCTTTCCACCATGGGACCCACATGACGACTTGACAACTCTCCAAAAAATTCAGTACCACCGTGGTGGCAAGTTGAGGCAGAGGCTGACAGAAGAATGAGAGCAGCCCTGTGAGTGAGAGGGGGAAAATTGCTGAAAATGACAGGGGTAGATGGAAGAGAGGGAGCCAACGTTAAAAACAGGGAACAAAAATAAGTTATGACACACAGATGTGCCAAAAAAAAAAAAAGGAGTCACAATTAGAAGCGAGGAGCCAAATATATGCCTGCTGCAGCGGAGCCTCATGATCTTTTTACTTCGTTGTGCAAGAACGGTGAGATAACCAAACTGTAAAGCACGGCGGTGTGCTTGGTCAGCATGAAGGATTTGACATGTTTGCACTTTTTCTGCCCTTACATGGCGTTTTTTTTTCCGACAGACTTTTCTTTTTCATGTTTTAGATTGTGCATAAAGATCAGGGTAAAAGACTCAGGGCTCTTTTGAAAGATGTCGAATAATTTAGTCTTTAAAATGCTAATTTGTCCTTTAAATGGAAGACAAATTAGTTCTAAGATAATTCTGACCTTGTGTCACTTGATTGGCTTCTAAAAGCTTAACGAGAGAGAGAGAGACTGACTGGACTCCTTATGCAGTCATCTCTTCTCTTTTGGCCTGGTTCCCTGTGGCTTTCATATATAAATATATGCACACAGAAATGAAGAATGGTTGCTTTTTTGAACCTTTATGCCATATTATTTATAATGTTATTATTTAATAGTAAAAATGTGTAGCCTATACAGGGAAATAAAACAGTGGTTAGCATGGACGTTCACACATAGATGTCTCATCAGTATGAATTCCAAATCCAAAAAAAGGAAAGTCATTGAGGAAAACTGAGAATGTTTAGACACATTTCTTTTCTGGCTAAAGTTTCTGTCACACAGGCCTCGAGACTATTCAGAGACCACCTGGCAGCTGCTGGTCACCGGAGGAAAAACGCATATTTCACAACCGATCGGCACGTAGTTTCTGTGAAATCAGTTACTAAAGCATCAGTGACTCCCTGGCAACCTGAGGTTGCTCCAGAAAAATGGGTATTCCATGATCAGTTGGCAAATTGCTGCTTGAAGATGTTGGCAGTTGCGGGGTGAAACTGCTCACAAATAGATCTATTGTGCTGTACCAAAAAACTCCTTGAAATTGCTTTTGGTTGCTAGCAGGTTGTCACAGTTGCCCAATGTCACCTGCTAGTCTCTGAGCGATAGAAAAAGATGAAGTTCAGCTTCAAGTTAAAAGGCGAACCTTTTAAAAAGTGTTGATGATGCAACTTTTACCTTGAAGGTGAACATTGCCCATTTCTGGTTCACGTCACTCCTTTTCTAATTTTACTACCACAGGTAGCAAGTATTTACAGACACGTCAGCATCTTCTGTGCCAACTGGCAAATGACTGGCAATCACCCCAAATAATAAAGAGGCTTTTTGTGCAGCTCCCTGCTGGAAACAGAGAGACCTGTGGTTGCCAGATGGTTGCTGAGCAGTTTTCAGGCCTGCATGACCATACCAGTATGCTTCAGCTGTGGCTGGACTTTACCCTGCCTCTCACCCTGTGGTGACTGGGATAGGCAACAGCCCCACCGCGACCCTGAATCAGATAAGTGGAATAGGATGGATGGATAATCGACTGCTGCATATTTTATTTAATATCAAACATACTGTGTGTCTGTATAGACCTGAACATGCTGATAGATATGTTCAAGAAAGAATTTTGGGTTTTCTTCCAGTTTCATTAAACGCAACAAGAAGAATTAAAATTAAAATTAAAATCATGAGTGCCAAATAATCAAGTGCCAAATAATCAAGTGCCAAATAATCATCCACCTAATGTTAATAAACAGTTTGTATCTGATCAGCTCTCTTTCCCTCTCTCTTACACACACACACACACACACACACACACACACACACACACACACACACACATACACACACACACACACACACTGGCATCAAGATATGCTTGAGCTGCAGAGGATGTCTGGTTTTACAGCTGCAGGACATCAGTGAACTATGTAAATTAATTCCTGTCGATTTAATTGCTCAGTACACTTAAGGGATGTAATTTACCTGTGCCAGCAACATATTTAACCCCCTAACTCCTTATTTGTTCAAAGTTAACTTCACTAAAACTTCACGGCGTTCATTATGCTGGTTCTACGGTGTGCACTGACAAAAAAAACAGCGCCTTGAGCTGCACACCTTCAACAGCTCATCCGCTGAACTGAGGTAAACACGGCTCTGTGTGATGGATACAAAGTCCCTGATACGCGAACACAGAAGGGAACAAAAAGAAATGCTGGCAGACGGGCAGCTGAAAAGACCCAAGTGCCAGAAATACGAATCGGATCAGGGCAGAGGCTTAAACGAATAATAAACGACAAGAGTCAGCATAAAAGAAGCAGCTGGTACAATAATGTAGAACAAGAGGAGGAAGACACAACTGAGAGAAATAACATGTACCAGTGTGCACAAGGCCAAGCAGGGATATAAGATAGAATCAGTTGTGCATTCTGGGTGCACATGTAATTTTACCTTTGTTCTCTAAAACATTGTATTAGAAGAGACACCGATACTGTACAACGTGCCGGCTTTAAAGTAAAGAAACAACTCCTCAGAGAAACTGCTAGTATGAGCATTTCCGACTTTCTTGTTTCAGTTGTCAACAGTTAATAAAATGACTCAGAAAATGTCCACTTGCACGAACCTTTGACACCATTAGCTTAAAAAGCAGTTTTCAGTGCAGTGATTGTAGGTGTTCCTCTTATTCAAATCAAACGCACTGAAAAAGTACTCCTTCACCTCACTGTAGAATACGTCATCCAGACTTTCCTGTAAGCCTGTACTTACAGTTCAGCAAAAGCATGTCATTTTTACCTCAGATGTACTCAGAGGAGGGTGTTATTGGCAAGGAAGCTGGGTGTCAGGAAGCCTGCGTGTCAGACAAGCTGACTGGTTCTCCAAAAGTTTAGTTCAGAAGAGAAAACATGAATGCGTTTTCAAGCTTCAGCCACTAGATTGGTTGAAACGGGAGAGAAACAGTATGTTTAACCTTATGCCTTTTCAACTGGGGATGTGTTTTCTTTACATTCATTTGAGATCCCTGTGTCGTTTATTCATAAATTATAAATAATGAGAAAACTACCCATCACCCTTAGGCAATAAACAAACATCATCAGGTTCAAAAATGGAAGGCTCAAAAAACGAAATTACCTATTGTTAAACCATAAATGACGTTATTGCATCTCTCCGATCAGAGTCATCTAAAGAAAACAGAAAGGTGCTTTACAACCTTTTCAGTATTATTTTTTAGCAACCTTGTGCTGCTTCTACCTTGAAGCCTCCCACTGTTGGAGGTGGCGTTGGTTACAAGATTTGCTGTCCTGTGTGGGAGCTTTCACTCTCTGCACTGTTGGTGCTTAAGTGCAGCAGGCACGCTGGAGATTTAGCTGTGTGGGTTTTATCTGTCACCGTGCCTTACAGGCAAGCCGGTACGGTATCAACTATAGTTCTGTTTCAGACTTTGAAGAGACCTGCGTTGGCTGAGAAAAGAATTGATCTCACTGAGAGTACAACGTGATCAGAATGCATCCACCTCCACTCTGCAGGACCTTCCATGTGTCTCAGCGACTGTCGCAGAAACACCTCAGCTCATAAAGAGTGCTGATCTGCTTACTGCGGTGTATAATGTCAGTCAGGCTCTTGTTGTCTTCACATTCCTGTCTCTAATGTAATAAAAGCCTGGAAACAAAAGAAATGAAACAGCTTTTTACAGTTAAAAATAATCTGTGGATTCTACAAGCACCCCAAAAAGTTTCATATAAGAAAGTTTTCGCAGAACTCTTTGCAGTTCTGTGCAACAGACAAAAACTAAGTAAATTAGTGAATCAATGTGAATTAAAAGTCTAAGGAGCAGGTTGGTGGCACTAATAAACTGCACTTGATTATATGATAATCAGAAAATGTGAGCACCTCTATAAAAGCAGGTGTGTGTACACACAAAGCCACAATCCTCCCAGGAGTGGAGATCCAGAGCATTCACTCTAAGGTCAGTCTTTGCAATGCTCAGAGAAACTAGAAAAACACCTGAAAGCTATATCTCAGACTCTACAGTCCTCAGCTAGCATGTTAAATGTTAATGACAGGACAATTAGAAAAAACCTGGACATGTTTGGCTTGTCTGGAGGGGAAAGCCTCTTCTTTCTTAAAAGAACATGGCAGCAAGGTTTAGGATTGTAAAGTTGCCCCTGAACAAATCACAAGACTTCTGGTGCAATATCACTAGCACAGATGAGATCAAAGCGGAAATGTCTGGTAAGAATAATAAACCACATTTGGTGAAACGCAAACACAGCATATCAGCACAAACAACTCACGCCAATGATGATGATGTGGGATTGTTTTACAACCACAGGTGCTGAGGTACCTTGCACTCCTTGGGTAAACCAAGAACTCCTCCACATACCAAAGTATTCTGATCATGAAACAGTATAATGATCCCGAACACAGCAGCAACTCTACATCAGAATTTCTGAAAAATAGAGAATAAGAGGCTTTGCAATGGCCCAGAAAAAGTCCCCTGACTGAAAAAACTTGACTGAAATGCTGTGCCAGAGCTTAAGTGAGCTGTGCATAAACAAATGGCAGCAAAGAAGAGCGGGCCTAAATTCCTCCGCAGCGTTCTGAGAGATTCACAAAGTCAAACAGAAATCCGTTCCTTCAGGTTCATGCTGCTAAACGTAGGTTCAACCAGCTACTGAATCATGGGGTGTACTTAGTTTTTCACAGGACCGCCACAGAGTCCTGTGAAAAACTCTGAACCTTGTAAATACACTTTGATGTTTGTTTGAGAATCTTAATGAGCAAAATCATATTAATGATGCATTCTGATTGCTGCAGCATGTAATTTATTCAAAGAAGCCCGCTTTATTGATCTACCCAGGCAGCCTGGCCTGGATAGATCAATAAAGCATAAGTCTGATGTATAGTAGTTTCTGTAGCTCAGAAAATGTTGAACTGAGGTTTTGGCAAAAGAAAGTAGTTACTGAGATCATAAATCAAGAGAAGTGCAGGGTAATTTTCTAATGGACTTGTATTCAATCACTATCTTCAAGAATGTAAATTTGAGGCACTTCTCTTTCAATCCTGGAGGCCACATCTTTCTTTTACATACAGCCTCTGGGTGTTCCTTGTTTTACGACTGCAAGGCGTCTATTCTAATCTCTGAAGAGCGTCAACAATTAAAGATCCCTAAACTAAAACCACCATGGAATCAGATAAACACCAGGTGGCTTTCTCTTGTTTATGGTTAAAAGGGGTTGTGATTACAGCTAAATAAGATAAATGTCAGCACTGATAAGACAGCACACTAGCAGTCCAATCTATGCCTTTCATTTTGCAGTACCATAAAAACATCCAAACACTTCCTGAATTAAATATGAATCCTTAAATTAAAAGCTGTTCCTGAGCATAATTTGCAGGATCCCAGGTCGTTCACGGGTATCTAACACGACTTACGTTTTGACAAAGGGGTCAGAGTAGCCGTTGGAGTCCATGGCGGCCAGATGGGCGCAGCGTATGATCCCAACCAGCAAGCAGCCCTTCTCCGTGTTATAGCACAGTGACACCAGGATGCGGCCACGCTGGGGACACAAGAAGCTACAGTGTCAGACAGAGCACCTGTTTCCACTCTGATATTTCCCTCTTCAGCGAATAACCACAGCGGGAAATCCTGCGGCCGGGTCAGCAAAGTTTTTCAAAACACTTGAAATACTTTCACCGTGTAGGATATAGCGTGTTAGCCGAGAGGTTTGGAATTAAAGCTCATAATTAAAGGTCTTATCTGGGCTGGAAAAAAATGACACTGCTGCCTTCTCCTTTTAATCTCCAGGTTGAACCGTAAGCCGAGTCTAATCAGAGACCAAAAGCTATTAGCCTTCGTCTCTGGAATCACAGAGAGACGTGAGATAATCACCACCAGGGGAGGAAAAAATCAGTGTAGTGGCAGTGGTACTGGTCTAAATTACAAACTGTAGCTTCTCTATCAAAGGTCATGCCTTAAACATATATACTGATTAAAAACACATAATTAAACTTCCTCTAAGATTATGGAAGTAGATGACAGATTAGGATTAGGACTGTTGGAAGGATAAATTGCATGAGACATGGGAGATTAATAAGGCAGTGGGTCATGTTTTAGTTAAAAAAAATCTTATAAAAAACAACGATAATGATAAAGAGGTTGATATCATTACCTCCTCTTCTGCAACTAGCGCTCCCTGCTCCTGTGTTTGATTGTTAGTTTCTTTATTCTGAAATAATAAAGACAGGAAGAGAGATCACAGTGCATAGTACATTGCATTTTTCTGTAATGCTCTAATATAACTCAGTAATCACATTGCAGTTCGTAAGCACATCATTGAGACGTTATATTGCATGTAAGGAAAAAAAGTGCATCTGTCAGCATTGATGGTGCTTTACCAGATGTGCAAGTGCCATGTCCATAGACACAGTATTGCAGATGGAGGCTTTTGAACTGATAACAACCTGCATGGTCCCTCTTCTCTTTAGTCTGTAAGGCGTGACGTTCATGTTTTCCAGAAATAAATTCACATTTGGTTTCCTCTGACAGAACAGTTTTCCACTTTGGCTCAGTCCATTTTGACGGGCTTAGCGGAGATAGCAGTGTTTCTGGGTCTTGCTCACATATGTCTTCTTTTTTGCAGTATGGAACTTTAACCTACACTTTTGGACAACACATTAAATTTCCAGAAGTGTTGCTGAGTCCATGCAGTGTTTTCCATGACAAAATCTTTTTTTAATGCAGTGTCACGATGATCACAGTCATCCCGTGCTGAAGCCTTCACCCTTACTCACAGACATTTCTCCAGATTCTTAGTCTTCTAATGAAGCTTATGCATAAGTTCGAGACGGCTGATCGACTGTCTCACATCTGTCTGCTCCCAGGTGTTGCCGGCTAAATCTAAGCTTCTCGTCACTTCCACTTTCCCACGCTGTCAAGCTGTTTGTGGCATCAAAGCTCTAGTCCAATCATCTTTCTCCGCTTTAAATCTCACTGCACATCTGTCATTTCCTTTGCGGACCCCTTCGTGCAACCCACATCACCTAAACCTTCTTTCTATGTGAAGACCATGCACATGCATAATAAATATCACATATTTGTCCACAGAAACACGCACACATAATGTACACATACCTGTGCAATTCTCTCCAGGCCCATGTTGTAGCGTTTGCTCTCGCCTTCTTTCAGTTTCTTCAGAGCCACTCTCACCTCTCCGATGAATTCATTTCGTCCTAGTCTGTCCATGTCACAGACGCACAGCCTTCAATAGACAAGAGGTGCAGGCGAATTAGTGGCAAGTTTTCAATCCCTCTTGCAACTGTGCTGCTCTGCCCCAAAGTCTTGAAGCAAGCAAATAATGCACCAAATACATCCAAAGGGCATCTGAACAGTGCATCCGCAACACGAGATCAGTCCACTGTGTGTTTTGGGGTTTTTTTCTCATTGTCTTGCGCCCATCAGACATACCACTCCCATGTAAGAGGCATAAGATGTTTTAAAAAAGCATTTTCCACAGGAGCTAAAAGAAAAATAATGATGCGTGCTGGCACATTAAATCTACAGGGATCTCCTGGAATAAAATCTTTAATCTCTCACACACACATTGTTTCACTGCAGAAATCATGGATTTGTTTGTACGTATAATATGAATCAATGTATAGCTGCCTCTATAGTTTATTTCTCTTTAGATGCACTCGGAATTTAAAGCGAGACAACTAAATCAATAACTTTGTCTCTACTGCTACAAAACTGGTTCTGTAAAATGATTTCTTCCACCGAGAGCACTTATTCAAACTGATGGTTATGTTTGATAGAAAGCGAGTTTTTCATCAGCTACAGTTGAGTCTTCACAGCCCATCGCCCGCCACAATACTCTCTCTGCTCCGATATTCCCAGAGGGACTGTAGCTGCTTCACCTCTTTCTTCACTGTCTCATTCTAAACCTCTCTCGCTCTCTCTCTCTCACACACGCACATTCTTCACACACACCTTCCCCCTCTTCCTGTTCTCTCCCTGTCCTGCTGACATTTGGACTTTTGACATGCTGGTTCCAGTCTTTTAGTCATAACGGATGAGTATCTCTAGCAGAAGCTTCAGAACAGCTCTGACTCACGACCACGGCTGTCAGATGATTTATGTCCCTTTGCTCTGTCATACATGTAGGGTGTCTGTACTGAGACAAAGGTTGGCGGGCAATGTGACACCATTTCTGCTCAAACTTCTTCTGTGATGATTTTTCTTTCATTTCCCCAGTTTTGGAGTTCCTATAAAACCAAGCAGATGCTGATAGAATCTCTTCAACCTCTTGTGCCAAGTTTGGTTCGATATTATTGATAAAATCCACCACATGAGAGTAAAATTCGGGTTTCCCATTCATAGTGTTAAAAACAACTACGAAGACTGGCACTAAAATGGCTTTATACTGTGCTGTGAAAAAGTCTAGAAGCACCATTCGTTTTTTTATATTTTGGTAAGAAAAGGGGAAATAGGTGCAGTGATTTATTGAAACATGTGCAAACATTCATGGAAATATGGTATATGAGGCAAAAAAGATTTACAATACTTGAAAATCTATTTTTGGTATAACAACCTTTATTCAACAGGGCTTGACCTCCCTCAGACAAGCTTTTGTGTAATTTGGTTAAGTAGTGTTTCCTATGATAATGTCGTCTGTCCAGACGATCCCACAATGCATCAATAATGTTGAGGTCCCGGCTCTGGGGAGGCCAATCCATGACTGATAGTGTTCTACTGTGATTCTTTCTGTCCAGGTATTACACAGCGGCAGTATGCGGGATCACTTTCATGCTGAAAAATGAAGCTGTTGGTGATGAGATGGTATTTAATAGTGGCTCAAACTGCATTTTTCTGCATTCATAATTCCATTAGTTTAGACAAGATCCCCAACACCACTGGCTGAAATGTAGCTCCGCTGTGTCCACAGATGGCTGTACGCACTCACCCTTCTCCTGATATTGAAGATAATCTGAACTAAAATTTTTAAATTGGGATTCATCACTCCATCGGACCTGTTACCACTCATTTTCAGTCCTGTTCTTGTGTGATTTGGCATACCTCAGCCTTTTCATTCTGTTTCCCTTCATTAAGAATGGCTTCTTAAAAGCCAGCCCTTCACTGAGATAGTTTCTAATGAGGCTTCAGCAAACTGAAAGGCCAGATGTATCTTTCAGATCCTGTCTTAGGTCTTTGCTGCAGGTTTTCCAATTTCTTAAGGGTGTGCCTTTCAGATCGTGTTCATCTGCTGTGGTTTTTATGGCTGCCACTTCTTCTTTTGTCTTTCATTTTCTACAGATTTTCTGACGACACACTGCACACAGTGCTGAGATATGCCAGGTTTTCAGCTAATGTCTTTTTGGAAATCACAGTTTTGCTACATAAATACTATTTTCTGCCCGTCGAACTGTGTAATCGTTCACATTTCTTGTAATTCTACAAATTACTGATGTGTTTTTGTGACATCTAGTTAGTGTGTTTAAAGATACAAGATCGAGTTAGGTGACTTTTAATGCTTGAATGATTCATAGGTCAGTATTAAGTGGCATAAAAAACACAATTTCCTTATCAGGGTTGTCAGGTCTCTGTGTGATAAAAACCAGCCGATTAAAATGAACCCAAAAACAGTCCAGATCGTATTTGAGGCAGGCAAACTCTAAAAGGACAAGTTTGATCTCATAATGAAGTCACAAAAGCAAGAGTTATTACAGCTCTCTTCTATTACAGACATTAATCTTTACCAGTATTTCGTTTTAAACAACAATTGAAGCACAGCATTCACGAGGCGTTGTCTGTGTAAACTTTCATGGCTGTTGATAGTTCAGTTTAAAGCCAATTTATAAAGCTGAGTCAACTCCAACAACAATATCATCACCACCCAACATCTAACACCCAGCCGACATATATATATATATATTTTACTCCTTGATCATATTTGTACCTGACTGAATCTCATCTAAGCCACCTGTTATGGCAATTTCAGCCTCCATCTAATACCAAATCAAGCCACAGATTTATTCCTATCTGCCCACATCCGAGGACGGTGGAAGTCTATTATGAGGCAGAGGCATGGAGAGAGAGAGAGGAAAGAAAGTGAAAGGAGACAGACTCGAGCTGGCACTGAAATCATGTTTGTACTCCTTTAACACGCACACGCACAAACACACCACATCTCGTGATACCCGGCTCTCATCACACCTCCACATGATCAATTTCTCTGCTGATCATTCAGAGCCTGACAAACGTTTCAGTTGTAAATGTCAGAAGGACTTTTGAAAGATTGTCCCCAAGGTATGCATTCATGTTTGACTCATCGCATTTATTTATTTTTTGTGTGCATTAAAATGCACACAAGAGTGGTGTCATTGAAATAAGGGGCTGGATCGTGGTATCACATGATCACTCTCACTGCTCTCTAAATTATTAAAAATACCGCCTAAAGGCAGATTCACACTGCGGCAACTGATGGAGAAATTTTGGGCCTAATCCCACAATCACGTGGCCCCGCAGTGATAAAACAGGCTGAGTCTGTCTCATCCTGAGAATTCAAAAGGAAGCAGATATATCTATAGCGAACTATCAGCGCTGAAGCTGTGCAAAAATGATCTCAAATGTCTTACCCTTCCTGACAATTTTTGCGAGTCATAACCTGAATAAATAAGTGGCAAGGTTGGAGGTTTTTCCAGTCTGTTTTACTGCAGTGGACTTTTCACTCAAGACGAAAGCACCTCCAGCAGCCCGCCGCACCAATTAAAGGATTAGCTGGTATGAGGCCAACCGTAAAGTCTGGATTGAGGACGTTAGTTATTAGTTTACTCAGCTAGTTCATTGTTAATAACAGAATGGACCTCCAGCAGCCCTTAGAGATACAGTCTGCACACTGAAGCATTGAGGCGTTGCATAAAGGATGTAAAGAAAGAAACAATAACGCTGAAACAACTTTGAGGGCTTTTTCAGAACTGTCTTTAATGTAGCCGTTCCCTTTTTGTATTTTGCCTTAGCATAATGGTTTTATATAATCACACTTAGCGCAAATTATTGAATGAAAGATGAAAAAAAGAAATAAATGCATAAACCCACTCACTGAAGAACTCTTTTTTTATGTCCTGTTCTACAAAGAGCAGCGCAGGAGGATGGACTCTCACTCCCACTTTAGCACCATCAGAAGACGCGGTGCTTAAAATTTCCATGAAATCAAAGCCCATATTTGGTACGTGTACAGGGTTTTTCTGCAGTGGCCATGTAATGCATTCACATCTACTAACTATGGCTTTATGCAGTAGCTTTTAGTGGTTAAGCTATCCATTCCTGCACTAGATTCTGACTAAGAGGGATTCACAGCAAATTTCCTTTTGCAACAGAGTCAGATAAAAAAAAATGACAAAGCAGCAAAAAGCAATCATGGAAACCCTGATGAATTTGTCACAGAGGTTATCCCATTGGTGTTTTATAGCTAATCATTTCCAACCCCATAAATGCACGACTATTATACACGTATATATCATACGTCTCTAGAGGCCTGGCATTAATATGTGTGAGAATTCATGAATATTTCATGCTGATTATGTCGTAATTTGTTCACAATCCGCTTTAACTTCTGCCAGAGCAACGTCCTCATGGTTACTGCAATGTGGTTGTTTTTGCACAAAGTGCACACCACCTCACTGTTTTTGAGGCAGTGTGATGATGGGCAAATGTGCCATCCTCAGTTATTTTCAACAGTTTCTGGGCAAGAAAAGACTGAGAGGAGTAATTAAATGTAAAAAGAAAAAAACCCACCAAACAAACAAACAAAAACAGGTTTTGCATCTGTTTCACTGACACATTCACCTAACAAGCAAAAATCCCAGGCTATATCCTGGGAGGAGACACAAATCCCTTTGGGGTTGCATCAGGAAGGGCATCCGGCATAAAAATCTCAACATGCAGAGCTGCCTGCTGTGGAGCCCTGCGTGAATATGACAGCAGCCAAAAGTACTTATTTATCTATTTATTTGTTTTTATGAGCACCTGGTGGTAAATAACATGCTGCCACTACCAAAAAAGTGGCAGTAATGCACACCTACAAGCTTTTGGCCAATCACTAACAACAAAAAAGTAAAAGTAAAATATGTGTGAAGTGGCGAGACACTACAGCCATCAAACAGAAAAAGACTTGTTGGTTCAGAGTGAACATCAAGTTTGATTTTCTTCAATCACTGCTGAAGACTAGAGCATTAACTTTGGGAAATCCTGATACCCCCTTTTTCCTTTTCTCCAGCTGTGCCCACAGCATCTGTGAGCCAGCATCCTCCAAGAGCGTGAGCCTTTCTGGGATTTTGGCTTCCTAAGTAGATATTTGGCATGGAAAACTACAGAATCAAGTAACTAAATGTCACTGCTTCATCTGTCCCGAGTGCCAGAATGCTGATGCAACCCAGTTTGACAGCTACACAATCCAGAGCTCCTTCTGTCTGATACAAACTCCTAATGTTTTTTGCTCCAGATCTGCTTATTCATGAATGAGTCGAAAGCTCCTCATCAGGTAAATCACCTGAAGCACTGTCATTAACACAATACCTCCAATTTCAGAGCAAACGCAGCTATCAGCTAAACCTCCTTCAGAGCCACTGTGCTCCTGTGACATCACTGCGCCTCGGCTCACTCAGCGTAACAGTGAAACACTTTTTTGTGAGGATAAACGAGGAGGAAAAAGACAGCTCCTTCTCTTACTTCAGCACTATAAAAAACAGAAACTAATTACTCTGTCACTGCAAGCTGGAAACAAAAAACACCTGAATTTAACTAAAGAAATAAGTAAGAGCTTCCCATTAGATCAGAGGTCTATATACTGCGACACTGTGTGCCCAAAAACTGAGGTGACCAGGTTTTTTCTTCACTCACAGCACGGGTATATTTCAGTATGACAATGCCAGTTTTCACACATGATTTGGCCCCCACAGAGCCCAGATCTTAACCCCTGTGAAAATCTTAGGGATATGCTTTAGGAGAAGACCTTACGCAGCAGCTCTGGATGGAAATAAATGTTGTGACACTGCATAAGCTTATGGAAATGATGCCACAGTGGATGCTCGCTGTCATCAAATATGAAGGCGGTCCAATGAAATATTAGGGTGTGTGACTTTTGTTGGCCAGCCAGTGTAAATCAGGTCTCTCTATAGCTGCTAGACATGAGAGCACAATGGCAAACAGCTGCTTAAGGAGTGGACCAACGACTGTTACATAACAATCATGGGCTACACCATGTTAACACACTTAAATATAAGGGACTATAGCCTTATGACAATCTACTGAATCAATATGAAGACTAGTTTGTGCAGAACAAACATGCCAAACAACACAACTTTGTATCACGTATCAGTTTGTAACACAGCTGTGCGACTTTACTCGAGTGGTTCGCTCTCACCACCCTCACGGCGCCTCCTTTTGGCCGCAGCTGTTTTCAAAGAGTCACTCGCTGTACATTACCCGCTCGACACCAAATCCGCAGACAAACTCAGTTACTGCAGGTTTAGGACTGCGTGGACGTAATCCTTGCGCTTACATAAAAACACATCACTTAAACACAGGACCTATTGGATGTGACAGGACGGCCCAGTTTGACAGTGCACTTTGCACTCTCCAGGCCTTCGGGCGAGTCTACGAGAATGCCGAGTCTGGGCAGAGTCCCTCCCTCTCAGCAGTGCACAGAGCACAGGGATCAAATACTACAGCATCCCCAGCAGAGCAGATGCAGCAGGGCACAACCCCAGCGAGTAAACATCTCTCTGGGGATCCCTATCTGCTTTCCCATTCTCTGACTTCTTGCCCCTTTCTAGGGAGTAATGAGAACAAAGTCTGTTTATTGTCTGAGGTATTGTGCTAGTGCCTGAACTCATCCAGAGAGACACTGATCCAATTTTAAGCCTCCCCTTCTCCTCCGTTCTCCTTACTTTCAGACAGTGTCTCATTTACTGTCTCATATATATTACTGTCCTCGTTCTTTCGTTTCTTTGGCCACCCCTTTTGAGAAAACTCCTCCCCAGCTCTCTACTCGTTTTTTTGTCTTCATTCATCATTTCATCCATCTTACACTCTACTCCAGCTACTCTCTCACACTGCCAGTTGACCTCTTGGATTCTCTGCGTCCCTCTTTTCTCTCGTCTTTGTCAGTCTTGGCCTCCCTAGTTTCCTCTTCCACGCACCCTCATCTGTCACTCGACATCATTCGCGCTTTCCCCCCTGCTCTTTTTGTTGATCTTGGCAGCCACTTCTCTCTCTCTCTCTCTCTCTCTCTCTCTCTCTCTCATCATCATCATCATCTCTTGCTTGGCACTGGTCACACTCCACCTCCTCCTCTTTCTCATTTTGGCAACCCAGAGCCCCCCTGCTGGTCTGTGGCTGTGAGCTATGTCCTTGAACAAAGGTCAGGTGGGTTTCCTCTAGTTTGAGGGGTCTCTCCTCAAGCTGTTGTTTGCATGTCAAGCGTGGGTTTTTTGTGGCTTTTTTGGGTTTGTGTGTGTATGTGTGTTTTCTGACTACATGCAGAGGAAGGGCCATGCATGATCTTTCCTGCCAGTGATTGCCCTTGACATGGACACAAGAGGATAAGCAACACACCTGACTGCCAGCCTCTGTGTGTGCTGAGTAGATGGGACTCATGTGCGTGTGAGTAAATGCACTTCCCTGTGTGTGCATGCACGAATGCGTGCATAGCTTCTCCGCTGCATTTCCACAGGATAAACAATGCTATCCAAACCTATTATGAATCCTCTGACTAAACTGACACTGATTACATGTTCACAAACAAAACACACACAAAACTCTGCCTCTGAATCAGCGCACAGACGGACACGCGTGCGTCAGAGTTTTTGGGCCAAGATGGCTACGTTTGACCTCAATCACTCCGCATGCAGGACGATGTGGGAGGAAGGAGGGCGGAGCCTCCTGGCAAAGCCAACACCTGGGCAGTTACTGCAGCAGTAGCAAGTGGAACATTTGGCGGGTGTCACTGGGCTGGAATAATGAATTACAGTACCTGGAAAAGCCCACTGGGAAGCAGACTGGCTGTTGGCAAGTCACTGGAGGGTTTCAAGTTTGGGTTTTCATCATTCGCATAATAAATTTTGGCTCTCAGGGAGGGCGGGGGTGTAACAGCAGGACTGAAATCCAAAGCTGAGTGCCTACCTGAGCGTTTTGGTGGTCATGTCTGCTGCAGTGATGCCGTGATACACCAGCGTTTCGTTCCACACAGGATTCAGTGTGTTTTTCAGGGTTTTTGTGCGTAGTTTGTTTGCCTGCAGAGGAAAAGCGAGACAGATGAAAAGAGAGTCACAGAAAGGCGAAGACCTAAAGAACAAACAGAAGAGTCAGGAATGTTCAAAGGGCAGGAGAGCAAAATCATTAGCTCAGATTCACATAATACAAGAAAAAAATAAGAGAGACAATAGATCAAGAAAAAAGAAAGTGAAAGAGTGGGGACGCATCATTTTTCACTGTCCCTTTGGACATCACAGACATCTGCTGCCTGGGCTATTAAAAAAAGAAAAAGAGGTGAAAGCACGCACGGCTACCTTCACCTCACCTGTCCGTCTGCCTCCTTCTCAACATGATTAGAGAGTGCATTAGCACCAGCCAGACCGCCAAAACAAACACCGCGTCTCAAACGACACAGCAGCCAATTAAACCGTGCAACACAATCATCATGAAAAATTAAACCTTTCCAGAAGAGGAAATGCTCCCGAGCTCCTAATGGCTTCAGCAACCATAAATAAAGTTTGCATCTACGTGCTGCCTCGCTTGTCTTCAGGGAGTTCTAAGCTTGTTTGATTTTTATCTCAGGTTTAATCAGGATGCTTGTATACTTGTATATATATGCATATATGCTGTATTTGGATTGCATCCCATAAAACGTCTTCAATTTCTACAAACAAGTAGGACCATGATGAGACACTGGCAGAACGAACTGACGGGTTAGTAAAGTGCAGATGTGTGTTTTTGTGTATTTTCTCCCTCTGTTGAAAAAATACATTAATAAACAACAGTTACTTTGCATATTTTAATTTGACTGCAAGTCTTTTGCTTAATGGAGTATTTTTGTGCTGTTGCTCTTCTTTCACCACTGCAGGCTATGCAAAATTATACTGTATGTATGTTACAAATACACATTTCCCTCTTAATACCCTCCTGCTCGTGTCTGAGGCGTGTGTGAAGATGCCTTAACTCTCGTCCTCTCTGCCACTGTCAGCTTCTTGCTATAATGCCTCAGGGCCAGAGGCTGAATGCTCCATGCCATCTTCTTTCTCTTTGTCTGTTTTTGTCCCCTTGTCTTATTGTTCTGCCTGAGCAGAAATTCCCTCTTCTCCCCTCTTGCCTCATCTCTGTCTCCTCCTCTATTCTCCGTGTCCTGCTGGAAACATCTGGTTTATCGACCGCACTCGGCTCTTCAGAAGTTGTTCGATCGAGGAAAACAAGTGTCTTCGATTCGTGTCATTTGTTTGATTCATCAATGTGCGAGACGAGCCACGCTTAAGCAGCATCACGACTTGCAGCGGTGTTTCACCGCCTGCCGTGTGCGTGCCAGCACAACTCAGCAGAACAGTTATTTTTGTAATACTCATCACTTGTTTGCGCCCGGATCAGGTTTGGTTTCTGCTCCATCTTCAAACAAAAAACTAAAAAAAACACCACTTCCGTCTCTGTCACTCCCATCCTCCGTTTTCCCTCTGTACTCCTGCCTTTTTTTGTTTTGCTTTGTTTTTAAATGTTTTATCAGTAGCACTCCATCTGTCCACCACACCACCCCCATCTGTCTGCATAGATCATTTTACATACTTCATACTCCCTCTTCCTCAGTCCCTACTTCCCAAAGCTCTGAATGAATATTCTTTTCATGTCGGTTAGTAATGGAGAGATGAAGATAACGGTGACCATCACAGACGTGCACTAAGAACTACAACTCTATGTGTGTGTGTAAGAGAGGGAAAGTGGGAGCATCTCTGTGTGGTTATGACTAAATCCTTAGCATGTGTCAGCACATGTACAAGGTCACGGTGAGCATGTGTTCTTGTTGTGCACTCGACAGCGACGGAAGGCGCGCTTAGCTGTCTGCTGGTTAAAGAGTGTGTGTCGGTGGGTGTGAGACAGTAGGAAAGGAAGCAAGGAAACGTGCCAGGGCAGAGGAGAGATACCCCCCACCCCCATGTGGTGGGTATTTAGCAAACAGTCATTCATGGATACTACTCATTGACGCCGTCTCTGCGTCCCTCCACCACCGCCTATACCCCCCATCAACAATTGCCTGTTGACGTGAGCCGTGTAACAATCCTCCCTGTTTCCATGACAACCACCTGCTGCTGTCCTCCCCTCATCTGTCTTTCCCTCTCTCCCCCCTGCCCTCCCTGCCTCCACTCCCCCCTTTCTTCCTCTCCTCTCAGTTGTCTCCCTCTCTGCACACTGTTGGTATTTCAAGGTCAAAGAGGGTCACAGGCAGATAGTGAGATAGAGACAGAGATAGGGCTGGCGAAGTGGGGAGGTGAGAATTACAACAATGGGACAGAAGACAGACAGAGGAAGGCTGGAGGACAAAAATCCCCCAGACGTCGTTATGGTCGGCACCTTAAGACTTCAGACGTTTGCCTTGTTCGGGCTGTGCCGCCTTCATCGTCTCCACCCGCAGCACTTTCATAACCTCATTTGGAGTCAACTTTGAGCCAAAATGGCCGACAACAGGTTGTATTATGGGGTTGCTGCTGTTGTGGCAAGCTTTATCTTCCCTGCTGCTTGAGCTGAAAACAAGACAAGAGAAGTCCAGTGGACCAGAACGTGTTTGCGCTCGATAAAGAGGAGCACCGGACGAGCCACATTAAGCAGTAACCAACTGAAATGCTCCCTGCTCGTTGGATTGAAGCGACACACACACAACAAATTAGCTTGCTCCCATGTTGCATTTTTGTTTTTCAGGCTTTTGACCTCTTCATGATGTTTCATAAGGAAGAATCCACAAGGGGGGATTTCACATAGAACTGCATCTGGGTTTTTTTTTTGGTTTCCTCAGTAAGTGATCTACTTCTACTACCAGTTACTGCGTGACATACAAGCTCAACGACAGTTAGTAACTGGGACATCCCAGCGTGGCGGCATGTTACGATAATTGCTGTTGAGGTAAGGGTGAAGCAGTGACCTTGCTAGCCCCAGGGAGAAGATGCAGCTTGACGTATGGATCAGCCAGCCCATTGGAGTCCATGGCTTTCAGTCCCTGTGGACACAAACAGACACACAAACACACAAGTACTATAGTGTCAAAGGTGATGTCATGGTGCCCTCCAACTATTCACACGTAACTGTCAGGGTCAGAAAAAGACAGCACGTACGACGGACCTGTTTGACAGCAGTCACATCTCAGTAGTTCTTCTGGCGGTTTTCTCCCTCTAGGCTAGTGTTTTCTACCTCCTTTGTAATGTCCTCAAGGGAACTGTTCAGTGAGATTTGCATAATTGACATCATGGGAGTGCGTGCAGCATGCAACGGACGGCTCGTGTCCTTGCACGTTGACCAAAATGTATCTGCGAGAGCAACCTAGCAACATTATCCAGCATTACGTCGCGCTGTGAGATGATTTAGTCTTGAACTGACAAGCTGCCGAGGCTACGTGGCAAATTTGTTTCCCTACAAAGGTTGAGAGACAGGAGTCTGACGTCTTCTGCAAACGTAAAAGCATTACGGGAGAATTATTTTCACTGGGCCTTCAAGGAGGATTACGCAACGGCACACATGCAGACAGACAGCCTAGTTATAAAGAAGATTTTACAATTGCGCGTACCTTTGCCTTGTGAATAGTACAATGCAGACAGTTGTTTTCTTGATCAAAGAGCAGGTTGAACTCCAGCGTTCCCAGGTAGGCTATAAAAAAGAAGAAAAACAACCACACACAAAACACACCAATTACTGTCAGTAAAAAGCAGAGACACGTTCAGTCTAACACACACTCAAAAGCTCTGAGTCATATTTGTAGCAGATGGGCTCTTCAAAATACGATGCTGCCTAATATGAATTGATCTGTCTTGTTTGATTACTGTTTGGGAAAGAACAGAAACCAGAGCGCTGCTATTGCAGCGCGGTGTAATAAATCATTAGAGCCGCTGTGTCACATAAAGTGGGAGTGACAAACACACAAACACAAAATGCTTCACTCCACAATTACTCTGCAAGCATATGCTGTGCTTCTGAAAGGGGAAGGGGGAAAAAAGCAGAAGCTCAAATCAAGTAAAACAAGATAATGTTCCACTCTAAACTGCATAAAACAGCGTTGTTTTTTTATGCTGCGGTGCTTAGTCATTTTGGCATGAATGAAAACCCCCGACTTTGAACTTCGAGCACAACTTTCCCCACCGCAAAACTCACTGTCATCATCATCAGAGTCGATCAGCTCCTCCCTGTCTCCCTCATTCTCCCCTCTTCTCTCGCCATCCTTGTACCCTCCGCCCGTCTCCCCATTGAAAGTCTCCTCTTTCAGGATCTTCTTCTCCCTGGGAGGTGGCGGCGTGCAGGGGTAGTCGTGGAAACGCGGGAAGAAGTCTGAGATCTGTGGGATGGGGAGGATGGGCCCTGGGCACACGTTAATGGCAAAGTGCTCCTGCATAGAGATTTTGACCGGCGAGGGCGGGGGCGGGGCGATAGAGTGGGGCGTCGCCGAGGGGGAGGAGGCGGACGAGGAAGGGGTGGAGGCGGAGGAAGGGGGGATGGCCAGGTGGGAGGTTGAGGGTGGCGGTGGGGGCTTGGAGACACTCATGTGGACTGTCAGACGGGACTGTGGAATAAAAATGGAGAAGCGAAGCGGAGAAGGACAAAAAAAAGGTGAGAAAGACAAAGATAATTACACGAAAACACCGTCAGCCTCCTCTGACTCTGTCACACTCCACTTTGCAGGGGGTCAGCGGTTTTCAAAGAGCACACTGGTCTCGTATTCACATGGAAGGATGGGTGAACCCATCACTAGTGGGCACCTTCAAGCAAAGGTCTGAGTCCCCTGAGATGCATTCAGGCTGCACTGAGATGCAAGAACTCTCAGATCTCTGAGATCATTCAGACCACATTCGGAGCTGGTCTGGGCTGTTTCTGTTAGCACTATGTAAGGAGAAAGTTTGCCTTTCTGCCAGAAATGCTTTGTCTCTCAAAGCTTTTAAAAATTTTTTTTAATATATCTTTCATTATTTTCACTTCTTCAGTTATATACAGGCACCAAAATAGGTAGATATAGCAAAAATAAAACCTGCGGTTTAAACCCACCTTCATTTAAATGTTTACTGTGTCTTCCAATCTCTGTGTGGCAGAAAGCCACTGAAGACAAACTTTTCCCATGAGAAATGTGCCCTGCACCAGAGTGAAGGACCACTTACTCAACCCACACCCTCCACATAAGTGGATCCAGCTAGTATTTATTTGTCTTCTTCTTTTATTTTCTGGCAGACTATGCACAGGGAGCGCGTTGCTGCCTCCCACGGGTTAAAATCAACAATATATTTCCATGTGTTTATTTGCATATGGAGCAGGGAGGTGAAAATCCAGTCACAGGTGGTCATGACACGCATCTGCAACATCCTGTGAAAAACTGAAATGTGTTCCTGTTTTAATCCACTGATGAAATTCTGACCTGTCAAAAGCCAAAATAGAATTTGCCAGAACCTTTGGCACTTCAAGCATGACTCACACATTGTGTCAGCACCGAGTCTGTGCTCTGAATGAATATTCAAATGCAATGCTGTAGAGTATGAACAAGAGATGTCACTTGTGTATCGGTTCTCAAATCCATCCCTTACCGCCCTTCTTTTCCCTCTTCTCTCTCTCATCTGCAACTCCCCAGAGCAATATTTACATAATACTACTTGGAGCCTTTCTCAGTCCTTAGCATATTTGTACCTAAATGAAGCATAATGACTGTTTCTAGACTCCATCATCATTAAGCCAAATGCTCTAATTTCCTATTTTCCTGGCAGTAATTAAGAAATACTGAAGATGTGCTATCTCATGTACTCCCACGGTGCTCTTGAGTCTTTAATATTTCAAGATCCTGTTTGATTTTATTGGTCACAGTAAAAAAAGAAAAACAAAAAAACCCAACAACAACAAAAAAAGAAAAAACAACTTCAGACTGTTTACTGTCGCTGTCCCAGATTAAAATGCTAAATATAAAAATAACTCCATTAAAGAAAAAACTGGCTTAGTGTGTGCAAAAATATACAGATGCACTTCATGAACGAGCATGACGAAGTCACTGTCGACAGCCACATCACAACAGCAGGTCATGTGAGGATGCACGCCAGTCGTCATCCTTCCTATATGTTTCACATGTCCATGATGTCACAGCTTGTTAGATTCAGCTGGTGGCATCTGCTCCTTAATATCTGAGCAGTTTGTGTTTCACACACATCTTTCCAAATAAAAGGGTTTCGCTCTTTAGTGTTTGACTGATTCAACTTGATTCGTTTGTTGAAGGCACAAACGTTTCCTTAACTTGAAAAGTTGCGTGTGAAAGTGCTGAAGCAGTTTTCATTGCGGATGACTTTCCTATTAATTAAAAGTGCAAAGACAAAAACCTAACGCATGTTTCAAGAGCATCTTTCTCTTATCTGTCAGATAAGAGAAAGATGCAATGATAAATTGGTCGAATGGTGTTGCAAACAAGTCAGCATTTGCTGACGGCAGCGGACGATATATATTTGTTGTGTCACATCAGTTTTGCACTGGCTAAATGTTCAAACGTAGTGTGATGAAGACCTGAAAGATTTGTTTCTCTTGGCACAGAGGGGGCGATTCATTAGGGAAAAAACAAATAGACTGAAAATATTCTCTTACCAGCTTTTTGGCCAAATTGTTATCACAGTTGCACTAAAAAAATAGTTTTTCACCCTCAGCAAATGTGAGGCAATGAGTCTGAGTAAAATGCAACTGAAATAAATAAAATCAAAGGTTTATTCATGCAAATAATTAATTAATAAGGAAAATTTAATTGGTATAAACTGAGACTGTACTCAAGCAACATTCACTTGACCAGATTCCATTAAATGTAAAATTTTGTAAGAAAATTAGATGAAAAAATTGCATGTAATTAAATTAGTTAAAGTCAGCATTTCAGGCTTTTTTGTTTTTTTCTGACTGTGGGCTGACCAAGGGTCTACAACTCAAAGATAGTTCACGAAAAACAGAGAAAATCATGGAAAAATTCGGAATCGTTGCCATTTTTGCATAACAAATGACTTAATCAGTCTTGAAAATTGTTATTGATTATTGTCCTGTCAATTTGCACACAGAATAACTGATTGATTGTTTCACCTCTTTTGAAATGAGCTCGAGCTTTAATGAGACTTTGCGGGAATGTCGTTCGATGTCATCTTTTTTCACAGTGAGCTTAATTTCTCCATCTACATGAGTCAGAACTCGAGCAAAAATCAGCAACGGGGGGAAAAACAAAAACAGACTAACAATGCCTTGTTTTCATCAGCATTGGTGTAGCTCATCTCCAGTCTACGGTGAAGCACGCTGACCGCTCCACGCACAAACATTCACGTGCATGTGAGGCTGAATTTTAACGCACCTCTGTGTCAACACCTTAACTCGCTTTTGAACTTGCATCTGTAAGAGCATCCCGCATTCCTGACCATACTTCATTACACACATTTATTCACACCCTCAACACACATAAAGACCCCAAACCGCCTGTCCCCGTCCTCAACAACTACACTCATTCAGTCACTCACGCCGCTCTTACGTAACAGCACCTAAATTCGCTGCTTGGGAACCCGCGTTCAAATGTTCACTTGCAGCATGTTGCTTGCAAACTCATTCGCTCGCGTCCTTCTACATACTGAGACGCGCACATGCGAGCACATGTGCTCACACACACACAGACTTCCAGACACTCGTACACACATTCACAATTATAGCCACCCTCAAAAAAACATACCCAGGGACAGTCTTCATCTGTGCCAGCACTCCATCTTGCCTGCTCTCACATCCTCTGTCTCTCACACTCTGTGGAGCATGCAGACCAGCTTTGAGTCAATATATCCTTCTGTACTCTCTCTCTCTCTCTCTCTGCTTTCTCCTTGTCTCTGTTCATCGTTTGCTCTCCTCTCCCCTCCCTCTCTCCCTTCCCCTTTACTTGTGACGTATGTGCTTAAAATCCACATCAGTCGTTTCCAGACTGTGCATATAGTACTGTCACTCACTTTCTCGGCAGTGGGGAGAAATCCGGGTAAAAAGGCAGGCTTGGGAGGGAGAAGTGTTTGTGGGGTTTTGACAGAAAGGGATAGAGAGGGAGAGAGAGTGACAGACAGACAAGAAGAGCAATACATCGGGACAGATGGGGAGACAAACAGACATACAGACAAACACAAGGCAGTAGGAGCCAAGACAAACACACAGAGACGCATATATATATATATATATATATACATACAGTACATGTGGAGGGAAATGGGTGTGAAAACACTGACTGCACACAATAGGAAACATTACTTTAGGGTGGGAAAAAGGGGGACGGGGGCACTAGCTGAAGGACACAGAAAGGAAATTAAATTCAACGTGTTGACTGAGCTCAACAAAACACACCGCCAACCATTAAATTACACTACCAGATTACTTTGTGTGGGCTATGACTACAGCCAATATCAGACAAGCATATGTGTGTGCGTGTGTGTTTGTCTGCATGTGTCCAATTCAAGAAGAGCTGATAGTAACGGCTGCCACCTGCCACAGTAATAAAATGAATCAAAGGCAGCAACGCATCAGTAGCAGTGGATTTATGTGGGATGTCACTGATGGAAATCAGCGATGGACACAAGGATGAGCAAGAATAGGACTGACTGAGTGCGTTAAACCCTGCAAGTTTATGAGGTTTTTAAAATTAGAGGGCTTATTAGCATTAGAAAACTCCAAATCAGACATGTATGTCGATTTTTGTGTTTTATTTGTTGTGATAATACTTTTTTAACCCCCAAATCCTATTTTCTAAGAGGTTCAACATGCATTTAGACCTGGCAGTCATCCAAATGTATGAAATAGTTTATACTTTTTAGTCATTCAAAGACCTTAAGGCATAAAATGTGAACTGTTTGGTTCAATAAAAATGTTTTATGGTCCTGTTTGGTTACATTATTAAATTATCTTCAAAGCGACTGGTTAGTAAACTTTCTGAAGTGGATTTTAATCAAGTCAAAAGAAAAGAGAATATCTGAAGGAAAAATTAAAGGAAAGATAACATTTTGTAAATGTTAGCATGAGGAGCATTAAGGTCGATGGGACATGCAGCCAATATCAATAAAACACGAGGCTTTGATAGGAGGGGTGAAGAAGGGGCCATCTCCAGTATTCTAAGGAAAAGGGGAGAACAAAGATGGAAAAATGGATATAAAAGAGAAAATATCCAGTCTCAATGAGAAAAATGAGAGTAAACCAATAAACCTGGGTGGCAGCTCTTTGGAATCCCAGCAAAAAGGTTCATGGTTCAAATCCCAGCTGGGGGAGAGTTGGCATGTCCTCTGGTGCTCTGGCTTCCTCCCAGAGTCCAAAGACAAAGTGATTTTAAATTGGCCATGGAAGTGAGCTAGCGATAGTGTATAGCACAAACGACTGCACAAAGACATGAACGCTACATGATGTGTCATGTAGAGTGGGAGCCCATTGGAAGGTTGTTGGTTTGATCCCTGGCTGCAGTCAGCATGCCAAGATATTAAGTTGCTGCAGATGTGTCTGTCGGAGTGTGAATGTTAGATACAAAACACTTGTATAGGCAAGTTGTATAAAGTGCTTTGAGTAGAAAAGTGCTATATAAGAACCAGTCCATTTACCACGGTTAAAATTCGCCTTCAGTCTAAAGAGCTTTGAGAAAAGCATTTTAAAAACGTGAGTATATTTGTTTTGTCTGATATAACTGAGTTTCTTCAGAGACACAAACAGGCTTTTTGCCTTTAAATGACCCGATTTGTTTGAGACACTTATTCCAGCTATGATATGTATATAAAAAACAGACATAACGTCAGGTCTGAAAAGTCAAGCCAGTGTCTTAGCTCTAAATCTTTGTAATGGCCATCAGAGGGCATCTGGTTGTAAAATGAAGCCCAACTGACCCCACTGCTCACTGAATTTATGATCTTGTAAAAAATTCCTGATGGCATTACAGCCTCAGTAGTTATGCAACAAGTTAAATATGTAATTAAAGTCCTATTGAGATAAAAATACAGAACAAAGCAGGATGTGATTTAGCTTAATTTAGTCTGTTTGACGAGTCTCCACCATATAAGCATGCATTCATCGGTTTTCAGTTAGATCCAAGCTTTGTACAAACTAGTGGCTAATATTAGGCTGGCTGCATCCATCATTTATATACAGTCTATGATTACCTCCTATTTCATTGTGATAATCTTGACTGGCAAAAAAAACCCCAAGTCATGCTAAGGGTAAAGTGGAGTACTGTGGTTATAGAGCACAATGTTTATGGTGGTGGATGAGGGGAGCGTCACTGGATCTGCTGAAAAATTGCTTTCAGGTGGGAGTGCAGCATTTTGACCCTTGTCTAATAATAACAGTGTGTTTATTCTGGCAACCAAGATGACAAGAGTTGTCTGATAGCAGCTCAGCTATTCTCAGAATTACAGAATTACACCTGTCCTATAATTACTAATATATGTAGTAAATGCTGGTCTGAGCTGCACTCAGTGGGTTGGCGTAAACATTAACAATGTCATTTTGCATTGTTAAAAAGTAACAAATGATCAACATCAAGCATATTCAGTTATGTTAATGGTCGGAGGAGAAGAGGGGTAAATGCATGTGGGTGTGTCAGCTCATCCATTTATAGGCAGATTTAGTCTGGGCATGTCATCACTATCAGGATTACCGCATCAATATTGCGTTAACAAACCATTACACTGTTTATTCATTAATTTGCAAGAAGAACATGTTGGCTAAATGAGTTGAAATGAGATAAATGATTACTCAGTGTACCGGTGCCAAAATGAACTATTTTTAAATAGGTGCTTTCGACATGCGCCACATGCTTCGAGGGGCTTGAAATTGATTCTCCTACAGTAAACATCTGCCTGAGTTCTGGCTACACGGACACAAAGTCTTCATGGTGTTGGTTTCCACACAGCTACTCAGCCGTCTGGTGAAAATGAAGAAGCATAGGTGAGCAATTTCACTCCACCCACAGCGTCAGTTATTAGAGTGCTCATAGCTGACCTCCAAAACTCTCAGACGCTCTTCATGTGTCTGTGCACTGTAGTCCACCAGGAGGGCTCTTGCAGCATGTTCAGGTCATGGATGAACAATGAACCACAGATTTGTGAGGCACTTTTGCTGAGTTAGTTTAGCAAAACAATTGCAAAAAAAAGTTTTCAATTATCTGAGTGGTGTCTGGAACACCAGGGGGGTTCGTTCTTTTTATTTTT